CCTCCCCCCCCAAAAAAACCCCCCCCCCCCAATTTTAATTTAAGGGGTCCCCCCCCCCCCCCCTTCCTTGGGTTTCCCCGGGCCCCGGGGACAAAAAGAACCTTCCCCCCCCTTTCCCCGGGGGCCAAAACCGGAAAACCCCCCCCCCCCCCCCCCGCAGACATACTTACACCTCCAATGCGTCACCCCCCCCTTACCGTGAGTCTCCCAGGTTGCAGGAGATGATGGAGACCTTGCCCTCCCTGTCGCAGTGGATCGTAACCGACACGGCGCAGCTCCCCTCGTTGCCGTAGGGGGTCTGCGTGATCACGTAGTCGTCGGCGCACTTGAAGGCCGACCGCAACGCCTCCTGGACAGTCTCCAGGCCGTACACGTCGTCCCCGGGGGGCAGGTGGTCCATCACCTGCGCACACAACATGGGCGTGGTATGTTTAGTTCGTTCAGCGAGCGAATCGTAGAGCAAGGGAACCACTCATCAGTGGAATTATTCTGCAAGCGTTTGTGGGTGTGGTCTGTTTAGTCCATTCAACGCTCTGCGTACGAATTGTAGAGCAAAGGGCGGATGGACCACTCATCAAAACAGTTGCTCTGGAGCACAAAAGTTCCTGTGTATCGTCATTTTCAGACTCGTCAATGCATATGATCACCGAGGTAGTGTTGCGCAGGTTGGGATAGCAGATGGAAACGGAAGAGTGACGGGCCAGAACGGCACCCAGAACGGTTCTTCAACGCACAACAAAGCAGTACCAGCAGCAGCAGCAGCAGCAACACGATCACAGCAACAATCGACACCAAACAGATACCCAAAACTCACGTGCTTGTAGAGGTTTCGCCTCAAGTACTCTGACACGTTAGCACCACCATGCCCGTCGTAAACGGCCGAGAAGCTCCCGTCGGAGGACAAGAAAAACTCGTCTTCCATGCGCGGCCGGTGCCCCTGAGTGCACAACCATCAAGGTACAAAAACAAAGAGAATACTGTATAGCAGAGGCGTACAAATGAACGCTTCCGAAGAAAAAAAGTGTGTGTGATTTGATTCGTTCTTGGAAATATGTGGACCTGGGGGAGACGGATATGTGGACAAAAATACGCTCATCTAGCAACAGATGACAAAAGAATATGACGCCTAAATATGTACCAGGTAGGTATATCACTTTTACGGCAGAGCATCTAGTGGAACGCTCACAGCCATGCTACAGCAGTAGTGAAAATAGAAACTGGGGCGTTCTATGAAAAGTCTGAAGCACAGATTTGTAACTTCTCCTTCTTTGTTCTGTGAGGTTCTGTGAGGTCTTCGAGCAAAACACGCCAGCTGTGGGAGCCGTCCAGCTTGGGAAACATCACAACCAACTGGCAGCTGGCACCCAACTGTGGACTGGTCCTGCTGCCTGGTTCCATTTTCGTCTTTCATCACCCCTTCATGACACTAGCTGTACTCTCATCAGCCCGCTCCGAAGGAATCCCTGGTACATTTACCACCAATGCGATGGTGCCCTTTGACCCATTCCAGGGGAGTAGTAAATTAGCGAAAAACGGAGGGCGCTGCAGCAAATTTCGGCGCGTGGTTGCGGGCGGTCGGGCAGCTCTCGAGGACCAGAAAACTGTTCGAACGCGGTCTATTGGTCCAGGATTTGGTTCGCAAAGAACAAGAACAATGGTCGCAAAAAACAAGTAGTGTTGGTGGTCCGGCACGAGACACGAGACTGCTGTGGCTATCTCTCAAACGGGCAGTGTTTCAACCATTAGTAGAAGCATGCCCGAGACCAATGAGGACGACGATAACGCCGACAACGACAACGACAACGACAACAAACAGCGCCGGGCTGCAGCAGCAGCAGCAAAACAGCAGCACCAGCACGAGAGAGAGGGGAGCTGCAGCAGGCCGCGTCAAAAATCGATCTACCTTGGTCGACGCCACGCTCGTGAACAGCGGCCGCCCGGCCAACGGGACGCGCTTCCCGCGCCCTTCCCCGTCCACCTTCTTCTTGCCTCCCTCCCCAGCTTCCTCCCCCCCGCCGCCGCTGGGCGCTGCCGCCGCGCTCATGGCCCTCACCCCTCCCCGCAAGTGTAGCGCCGAAACCCCGCGCAGGAAAACCCCGGCGTCTAACCAAGACGGAGGCGCCGATGATCTTGATCGGTCTTCTCCCCAGCCTGCTGCCGTGGCCTGCGGTAATGCCGCGCCTGCTCGAGGTGCTGTTGCAGGCGTGGATGCGGAGGCTGACGGTGATCGCCAAGCATCAGCCGGAGGTACCTTGTCCTCCCTCTGCCTCTGTCCGGCTTCAGAAGAACCACGGACACCGCTGCAACTACTGATGTCGTCGCTGCTGCTGCTGCTGTTGCTGCTGCTGCTGCTGCTGACTCTGCCGCACCTGCCGTTTTTTCGCTTGCACCCGCTGTCTCCCCTCCCCCCTCCTGCTACACCCGGCGCCGATGTTGCGGTCCTGGGGGGGTGTCAGCGCGCAAAGAGCAGCCGAGTCGCCGAAATGTCGAAAAATAAGGAGCGCTTGTGACGAGAAAAATGGCAGAATTCCACGCCGTTACTGACACGACAAAAAATGCACCGAAGAGTTCAATTCGAGGTAGGCTTGACAACGATGCGAGGGAGTTGTTCGCGCAATAGAAGAGTAGAGCGTGTCCTCCATACAAGCCGCACGCATGTAAACGCAGCGCTAACCCACGCCGTTAGCCTCCGAAAAAGGGATTTGCGGTCTCCAACTAGCGCATGTACATGCCTAAAATTATCCAACCCTTGTCACTTTAGATTATGCACTTGAACCCCCTTCACTGCTGTCGAGTCGAATGTAAACGGACACAATACAGCCCCCCGCACTCGCCCCCGCCGTTGTCGTACTGAACCCCCTCAACTGCCGGAAAAACACGGACACAATACAGCCCCCCGCACTCGCTCGCCTCGTTGTACTTCCAGGGGAACAGTAGTGCATCAGGTCACGTGATCGGCGGGACGAGCGTTTACATTCGATTGCTGTTCAGAGAGAAACAAACCCTCACATGGCGGAATCGGATGTGCAGGGTGACGCGGAGGTGGCGGTGTTGCTGGCGGTGGTGGCCGTTACGGCCGTCACCGCCGTCATGGCCGCCGCCGTCCACAACCATCGCCGGCTTGTTCCCGCCGCCCCCCCTCCGCTTCCTCCCCCGCCGCCGCCGGAGCATTGTCGCTGTTGTGGGCGAGGGTAAGGACGAAGGCCGGGTGTGGGTCAAGGTCAGAGAGTTGAAAAATAGAGACAGAGATGATGATAAGAGACAGAGATGGAGAAAGAGCGAGCAGACTAAATAATCAACACCAACAAGATCAACTGGTGATCAACGCGACTCGACGAAAATGCGGTCACCGCCGCTGTTGAACCGCGGGCTGGTCAACGCTTCCCCGCTGTCGTGCTACATATGTGCAGGTCTTCTGCGCTGCTGGGGAGGGAATACTGCTCGCACCGAGCAGCTGTAGAGTCTCTTCGGTAGACCAATTGCCAACCAATTTCCCATCTGTCGAAACTCTTGTAATAAATGACAGAATCACCAGAAAGAAGCATGGGGAAAATGTAGCAGGAGAGAGTTTGTGGCGAGCGCGTCTGTCTGCAGCACCTCATGTGCCACTAGCGTAAAGTATGTGCCATGGGGGCGGGGAGAGACCTGTGGAGACACGCGTCGAAAACGCGCGTCGCCGGGCAAACGTAATTACGTTTCGAATCGGATCGCTTGACTACAACATCGGGATCCTTGTTCCACCCCCCCCCCCCCCCCCCCAAACCTTTTTTTTGGGGGGGGGGCCCCGCCCTATTTACCCCCGGCAAACGGGGGCCCCCCCACCCCCCAAGGAAACAAAAAAGGGCCCAATTAAGGGGGCAAAAACTTTCTTCAATAACTAAAAATACCACTCTTGCCGCCTTGGGGCCTCCCCCCCTTTCCCAGGGGCGGGGCCGGTGGGGCTGGGGCGGGGGCCCTAAATTCCCCCCGGCAACTACCGGGCCAGGAAACAAAACCATTTCCTTCCAAACCCCCGGGGGCTTAAACTTTGGGAAAACATGAATTCCACCCCCCCCCTTTGTCCCCAAATTTAAAACAAACCGGTCCCCCCGGGAGGGGG